TGCGTGCTTCTTCCGCGACCACGCTGCGCTTACGCCGCTTGCCACACCTGCTCCTGTCTCACTTGCTGACCCCTCCTCTGGTCATGTAGTTGCTCGCAGCTACACTACCCTTCCCTGTCCAGCGGTTCCCTCGGGTTCCCTCACAGGCCTGCACATCCCCTCGTTCTCCCGGAACTTAGTTGGTATCGGTTATCTTCAGGACCTCGACGTAACCACTACGTTTCCGGGTCACGAGGTGTACGCTGTCTGTACTGATGCCGCCTCAGGTTCTCCCCTTGCGACGTTCCCCCGGGACCCGGTGTCTGGCATGTTTACGCTGGACACAGCTTCCCCCACGGGTGGACCATCCTCCCCGAGTCCTGCGTGTACCCAGGTCGCCGCTGCGTGCACGTGTCAGTCGCTCACTCACACGTCGCTTCTGTGGCACCACCACCTAGGTCATCCCGCACTCCCTCGTCTGCGTCACATGTCCCAGCACAGTCTCGTCCTAGGTCTTCCTGCATCGCTTCCTGCCCTCCCTCCCTCGCCTGCGCCGACGTGCACGCCCTGCGTCCAAGGCCAGCTGCACCGTGCTCCTCACTCCTCCTCGCTTTGTCCTGCCGCTGTACTCCTCCAGACCCTGCACCTGGACGTCTCGGGCCAAGCCCCCATCCCTGGACCGCGAGGCGAGCGCTACTTTCTAGTGCTCGTGGACGACTACACGCGCTACACTATGGTGTTTCCTTTGGATCGGAAGGCCAACGTGCCTGACGTTCTTATCCCGTGGGTCGTCGCTGCGCGCCTCCACTACGGTCTCCCTGTACTATGTCTCCACTCCGACCATGACGGCGAGTTCGCCTCTAGTCGACTTGGACAAATCTGTCGTGCGGAGGGCATCACCCAGTCATACACTCTATCGAAATCCCCGCAGCAGAATGGGGTCGCTGAGTGACGCATCGGTTTGGTCATAGAGGTGGCTCGTACCTCCATGATTTATGCCGGTGCGCCCCATTTTCTGTGGCCGTTCGCTACGCTGCTCACCAGATTAACCTTTGGCCGCGCTCCTGGCGGCCGCAGGTTTTGCCGACCCTTCCTTGGACTGGGTTCCTTGGTGACGCGTCCGCGTTCCACATCTGGGCCTGCCTAGCTCACGTTCGTGCCTCTGGTGCGGACAAGATCACTGCCCTCACTGTCCCCTGTGTCTTCCTCGGTTTCCCCTTGGACTCGTCTGCCTGGCACTTTTACCAACCGCCGTCTCACCGCGTCTTTCACTCCCGTGACGCCACTTTCGACGAATCGGTCTCCTTTTACCACCGCTTTCCCCACCAGGGACTCCCGCTTTCCCCTCCCCTGTTTCTAGTACCCACTCCCCCGGTCGCCCTTATTCCCCTTCCTCCCCGTCCTGCTCCGTCTGGTGTGTCTCACGTCACTCCCCTCCCGTCGGTTGTCCCGTCGGTTGTCCCGGTCGAGGAGTCGGCTGACTCAGGTGGCCCTGCGGCGCAGTTCTTGCCGCCTGTCTCTCCCCCGGTATCTCCTCCTTCGCTATCGCAGTCGACTTCGCCACAGCCGCCGCCGCCGCCGCAGCAGCCGACGCCGCCGCAGCAGCAGCAGCCGTTCGTGGACTCTGGGGGTGTTGGCGTTGAGGAGGGTGCTAGTCCTGGTGTTCCTGTCGTGGCTTGTCCCGGTGGGCTCGGGGGTGGCACCGACACTGGAGAGAGTGCTTGTTCTGGGGGTGCTGGAGTGGAGTGTTCCGAAGGTAGTCGCGGTGCAGCTGGCGGTCCTAGTGTCGACGTCGAGCAGCAGCAGCAGTAGTCATTGCCGGTGTCCGCCCTTCGCCTACTCGGCCTTCCTTCCCCCGACCGTTCGCCTATGCCTCCCCCAGTGCCTCCTCCCCTTCCTGTCCACGGCCTTGTGTTTCCTCCGCCGGACTCATCCCTGGCCCGTTTCCCACCTCGTTCCTCTCCGGTTCCTCCTGACCCGACGCCTCCGTCTCACGTCTGGTCTCGCCGTCCCTCTCGTGCTCGTCCTGTCTCTTCTGTTCCGCGTTCTCACACTATGTTGCTTCGTTCCCACGCGTCTTGTCCTCCCCTCCTGCCTTCCCCTCCTCCATCGTCGCTCGCTATTGCGCCTCCCCCTCTGTCTGACTACCTTCGTGCCGCTCGACCTCTTGTTCATCTGGTCCTTGCCTCCCTTGTTAGTGTCCCGTCTGTTCCTGTCTCCAGTCTTGACGCTCTGATCGCTGCTGTCGCTGACTTCGCTTCTACCCACCGCCTTGACTACGCCACCGCTCTGGTCTCTGACCCTGTCTGTCCTCCGTCTGTCAGGGTTGCTCCTGCCCTTGGCAGTGACGTCCTACAGGATAGGTAATACGAGCTTGCTTTCCTGTCGAAGGCCGCTCCCCATCTCTGTTCCATGCTGCTAGTCCCTGAGGGTGACCCAGACGCCTGTGACATCCGGACCCCTCGCACTTACGCTGAGGCGACCTCAGACCCTGAGCCTCTCAGTAGATAGCTGCCATGGAGCGGGAGATGGCATCTTGGAGATCCACCGGCAACTACGTCGACTTCTTTCAAACCTTCGCCCCGACCCCGAAGATGTCTACTCTTCAGGCGCTGCTACACGTAGCAGCACAGCGTGACTACGAGCTCCACTCCCTCGACTTCTCCACTGCTTTTCTTAAGGGCAACGTATACGAGCAAGTCTACATGTGCTGTCCTCAGGGCTTCCCACCTGGGACCCAGTGGCTCCTCCGGCGCCCGGTCTACGGCCTGCGACAGGCGCCCCGTGAGTGGCACGACACGCTGCGTGCCACGCTAGCTGACGTGCAGTTCTTTCTTTTCTCTGCAGACCCCTCTCTCTTTGTTCGTGCTTGCCCAACTCCATTCTACATCCTCGTCTGCGTAGATGACCTGGTCTTCGCTACTGCAGACAGAGACGCACTGGCCTCCGTGAAGGCCGAGCTGTTGAGGAGACACACCTACACTGACCTAGGAGAGCTGTGCCACTACCTTGTCCTGCAGATCTCGAGGGAAAGAGCAACGTGCCCCATCCCTCTCACACAGTCACACTTGGTGCGCAAGGTCCTTCTGAGGTTCGATCTTCAGTTCTCCTGTGCACATCCTAGACTTTTGCCAGTAGAACACAAGCTCTCAGCTCCTGTGCCTGAGGAGTCAGCAGAGCCCAGTGGTCCTTACGCAGAGCTGGTGAGTTGCCTCATGTACCCGATGACTTGAACTCTTCCTGATCTCGCATACCTTTTCAGCATCCTGACTTGCTTTGTGGCCACATGCAGACATCGACCACAACACTGGTCGGTCGATAAGAGGGTTTTGCGTTATCTAGCGAGTACATCGGACATGGGGCTAGTGCAGGGAGGATGCAAGCCAGTGGTCCTTACTGGGCACACAGACGCTTCTTGGGCAGACGACACTCAGAACCTCAGGTCCTCCCAGGGCTACTCCTTTAGCCTTGGTTCGGGTGCCATCTCGTGGAGGTCCACTCGCTCCTCGTCTTTTGCCCAGCCTAGCTGTGAGGCTGAGATCTACACCAGTGCCATGGCGGCACAGGAGCTCCGCTGGCTGACCTTCTTGCTCACCGACTTAGGTGAGCGGCCTAGCTCTGCCTCGGTCCTGTACGCTGACAACTGGGCCATGATCCCCCACTGTCAGGAGCCTCGACTTGAGGACAAAGCAAAGCACATCCAGCTGCGGTACTTCCTCCTGCGTGAGCTATAGCAGCGTCGCCAGGCCCGTGTAGTTCACTTGGCCTCCGGTGCCAACACAGCTGATACCTTTACGAAGGCGCTTGCGCCTAAAGATCATCAGCGGCACTGTGTACAGCTTGGTCTTGTTCCTGTAGCCTCTCATTTGCTAGGGCCATGATTGTGTACTCTCTACTATATATACCTGTCTGACTGGCCTTATAGCCTTACCTCCAGTGGCTGGACTAGTAGTGCCGCTTTGGCTTGCTTTAGTCTTGTTTGTACTCTTGCTGACTGGTCTCCGGACCCCTGCCTCAGTGGTTGGACTAGTAGTGCCACCCTGAGCTGTGTGCTTCTTGTTTAGCACCACCTCTTATCTAGCCTTGGGGGTGTGTCAACTTATACATATGATCTATGTAGCAGTTATAGGCTAGACTAGGTGTTTGCTTCTAGTGAGTACAACCCAACTGGTATATGTTCTAGGTTTCTCCTTCTAGTAAGCCATTGACGTATTCTAACACAATGTAGTCTATAATTTCTACATACTAACATATGTGTAAGTTTACATTCGCCGCCGTATTTATCGACGCGTGATTGGAAGAAAGACACAGTTACGAGTCATATCCACTGCAAATAGCTACCTGCCGGACGCCATTTGTGTATCCATGGTAGCATTTGTGGTTCCATTTTTTGCCGCTAAAATTATCGACAGTCAAATTGTGGGAATCACATGCTTGTTCGAGCACTCACGAGTGGTGGTAACTCGCGGATGCATTTGTGGCTGACACACATGCATTGAAACTTTACGAACATATTGCTTTGGACAAGACAACACGAATTGTAGCTGTAGAACCTAACAATATGGCAACCAAACGTTAGATTCTATTGGGTTCAGATTCTGGTGCACCAAAAGTGAAAACGATCGTAACCCAGAAGTGTGACACGCCCTACCTAATGCTGCATATGCTCTGTTCTGGGAATGGTTTGACAATTATGTTTGCGCCCACTACGAATCTGGTTACCCCGCATCTTTTCGCGACGGCTGGCATTTGTGCTTCAGCCCCTTGTCCTAAGGACGTGGTTCCTAAAGATCTCTTGGGCGTTCAGATTGCAATTCGACAGGGCAACTTGTTTTCGCCAGATTTACGTGAGCAAAAAAAAAGTCTTTCATTGGGTGCGAGCTCGGTAAAATGGTTGCCTGATCACTTAGACTGCGAAACGATCTACTTGAACCACGCCCTCAAGCTTATACCGCTTGCCCTGGCCCGTGGGACCAAGCACAAACGCCGTGAGTTGCGCGAGCCCGTTTGACCTCCCTCATTCCCTCTCGTTCCTTTACGCTACCAAGCCAGCAGGCCGTGCCGCTGCACCGCAGTAAGTGCAGACCTAATCCGCGTTTAGGTTCTCTCGCAGTCCAATCCGGCCGTCGTCTCGCACGCGCAGTCTACTGTGTAGGGTCGCCTTTTGAATTGCTCAGAGATTGTTTAGGTCGCAGGCTCTTTCGCTAGCCGTTCCTCCGAGCACACACACAGCACGGGGCCCCTTGTAAGCATCCAACGATAAGGTCGCAGACTATCCCCCGCTCCTTCCTACCGCAGTGTCCATTCGTAGGACTCTTGCGATCACCGGGCGATAGGTCGCAGGCTATTCGCACGCTTTCGAGCACCGAGCGATAAGTCCGCAGGCTATCGCCACGCTTGGGAGCATCGCGAGGGAGTAACATTTGGAATAAGGTGGGAATTCGAATTCGAGGTACTTCAAAGCAAGCGGGGTAGCCGATAAGGTCGCAGGCGGGTGGTGCTACTACTGCTAGCCGGGTCGCAGGCGGGCAGGCATCAGCATGGCGAGCATGGACTACTACCGCAAGTCGACGCTCGGCAAGTGCCTCACGGACGCGCTCGACGAGCTCGTGTCCAACGGCACCATCACGCCCGACCTCGCCGTCCGCGTTATACTGCAGTTCGATAAGGTGAGAGATTGGGATAAGGAATCCGAAGCTCGGCAAGTGTCTGACCGACGCGGTGGATTAGCTGGTGTTGAACGGCACTATCACTCCTGGACGTCGCCGTCCGCGTTATACTGCAGTTCGATAAGGCGAGAGAAGAGATGGTTGGGTTGTGAAGAAACGACTGGCCGCGACGCCCGTTCAGTGACCATGTGACGCCTGACTTCGCTAACTGCGTCACCCCCCCTCCACCCAACCCCCACCTTCCGCCCTCCCTCCCTCCGTTGGTCCGCCCGTCCGTCCCTCCCCCCCCCCTTTCCTCCGCTCCCTCCCTCTCCCTCCGTTCATCTCTCCCCTGCGCCTGTCCTCCTTTCTGCCTATTTTCTGTTAACTCTCCATCTCCTGCCATTTGCCTGAGTGCCTCGCTCGTCTGCCTCACCTGCACCCCTCTGTTCCCACCTTCACCGCACTGCATCCCACTCACTCCAGTCGCTGGTGGAGGCTCTTGAGACCAAAGTCAAGTCCAAGACGAACTTCAAGGTAAGCCACCCGACTTAACCCTCCCCCAACCCCCTTATGTCAAACCCTCTCCAATCCAAGTTCCATTTGACAACCCTACCTTATTCAAGTTTCCCGCTCAAATCATGGCTGTGTGGATGGGAGAGGCTCTCAGCTCAAGCCCGCGATTGTGGGGCAGAGACCCCCTCTCATGCGGTGGGCTACTATTCAGTCGCCCCTGGGGCAAGTTCCCCCTGGTGTTCCCACCCACCTGCAAGGGTGCTTGCGCTCGTGCAGAGGGCTATTTTTCAGTCGGCTCACAAGGCGATGTTTCTGTCGACTGGTACACAAAGGCACTTTCGCTGTTCCCGGTGCCTCCAGGGTCAGCTAAAAGCCCCCCCTGGTGTTCTCACCCACCTGAGAGGGTGCTTGCGCTCATGCATGTCTGAAGGCTTTTCTTCTTCACTCGTTTTGCTGTTCCGCCGATCCATCGGGATGATTTGTTCCTCGCGATTGATCAGTGTTTTCTCCCACCGTGTCGATTATCACACGTTGCCACTCTCCCTGGCTGCACGCATTACCTATGTGGTGCTTAAATGCATCATACCTGTTCTCTCAAAACATTTAATTCGACCATCCATCCATCCTGACACTCATTCGTTCATATGTCGCTTTGCACGTTTTCCATCTGAGCAAGGCCGCCTACTCGCGACATGTATCTGTTCTGCGTGGACGTTTCTGACAAAAGCTTATCATTCTTATGAAAGCTTATTTCTTTTCATTATATTCCATCCAAGCAGGGCTGCTTGCACGCGTGCCGGTTCTGTGAAAGCCTGTGCGGACGTTCTCACAGCTGCCACTACTCACTCTTACACATTCTTTCTCGCTCCCTCCTCTGCATAGCCTTCCGTGACTGTGTGCCATGGCCACCTGCACACGTACCGATTTTGTGAGAGCCTGTGGGGGGACGCTCATTGCACCCTTGTCACTGTTGTTTCCTTTCTCTTCCATGTTTCTTTGCACCCATTCCCGTCTGCGAGGGCCACCTGCACAAGTACCGGTTTTGCGAGAGCCCTTTGTATTTACTGTCAGGTCTTACCATGCCATCCTTGCTTTCCATCTACCTCTCCCTTCCGTCTGCCAGGGCCACCTGCACACGTACCGCTTCTGCGAGAGCCTGTGGACTTTCATTCTGACGGATGCTGTGTTTCAGACGGACGGGGAGGTGCAGATGGTGGACAAGGTGAAGATTGTGGCTGCCGACACGAAGCTCATCTCCAGATAGCATCGTAGCAGCCGAGTTATGTGAGCGGAATAGACATGGCTTCAATAGCTTCCGTGTTTAAAACAGATGGGGGGGTGTGTTAGAATACTATAATAGATTAGAAACAAGAGACAAACAAGCAAGATATAGGGCTGGGTTGTATTCTCTAAGAACATACACCTATTCTAGCCTACCTTATTCCCCCAGATATACGCACCGCCAGCTAAAACGCTCCATGGTGCGTATTGTTAAAGAAAGAACGAATGAATTGACTAGGAAGAGAACACAGAACAAATACCAGTTGGTTGTACTCGCTAGAAGCACACACCTAGTCTAGCCTATAACTTCTACATAGATAATATGTATAAGTTGACACACCCCCTAGTCTAAATAAAGGGTGGTGCTAAGCAAGAAGTACGCAGCTCAGGGTGGCACTACTAGTCCAACCACTGAGGCAGGGGTCCGGAGACCAGTCAGCAAGAGTACAAACAAGACAAAAGCAAGCCAGGGCGGCACTACTAGTCCAGCCACTGGAAGCAAGGCCACAAGGCCAGTCAGACAGGTATATATAGTAGAGAGTACACAATCATGGCCCTAGCAAATGAGAAGCTACAGGAACAAGACCAAGCTGTACACAGTGCCGCTGATGATCTTTAGGCGCAAGCGCCTTAGTAAAGATATCAGCTGTGTCAGCTGTGTCGGGCCTGGCGATGCTGCTGTAGCTCGCGCAGGAGGAAGTACCGCAGCTGGATATGCTTCGCTCTGCCCTCAAGCCGAGGCTCCTGACACATGAGGATCATGGCCCTGTTGTCAGCGTACAGGACCGGGGCAGAGCTAGGCCGCTCAGCTGTAAAGATATCAGCTGTGTCAGCTGTGTCGGGCCTGGCGACGCTGCTGTAGCTCGCGCAGGAGGAAGTACCGCAGCTGGATATGCTTCGCTCTGCCCTCAAGCCGAGGCTCCTGACACATGAGGATCATGGCCCTGTTGTCAGCGTACAGGACCGGGGCAGAGCTTAGAAACTTAGGACACGAGCCTCTTAAACTTAGGAGGCTAGGTAGGCTAGGATACTAGAAGTGACGCCATGGAATATCGTGAGGAGAAGTTTATCTAGGGGTAGGCAAAAGTGACGAGAAAGAAGTCTTAGATTAGGAAGAGAGGGGAGTACAAGGAGGGGTTTGTACCCCCTACAGAAAGGTTCAGTAACAACCTACCAAGCCTATATTAAATTATAACTTATATAATTTTAACACACCCCCTAGGCTTGGTAGTCGCACACCCACCCAACCCACCCCCTAACCCCGCACACCCTCAAGCTCGTGCTTAGCCGGGTATCTGACCCTCGTGCAAAGCGTTGACACACCCCCGTACACGAGGCAGCCTACGGCGTCTGGGCGGGTCAGCGACAAGCAGCGGCGGAGCTCTGGCTCAAGGCGGCTGGGTCGCCGACAACAGGCGGCGACCGCCGCGGCTGAGGGCTCTCGGTGATGTGGCAACGTCCGGGCAGAAGACAGCAGCTGCGAGAGGAGGAGGGGAAGACGCAGGGGGAAGGGAGAATGGGGGGGGGGGGGGGGGGGGCGGGGCGAGTCTTCAGCGACGCGCCATAAATGGCGCGGCGCTTACTGGCGGGAGGACGTCGTCCTGAGGGACGCCCGTGGCTGGCGAGCGGGCGGCAGGCCCGGCGACGCCACAGACGTCGCTCGGCCGGCCGCAGCCCGACGATGCCGTCGGCTGCCGTAGACGCCGCCGCAGCGCACCGTCAATGTCGCAGCGGTGAGGCGGACGGGCGACGGCTGCACCAAGGGGCCGTCGCGACACCTTGGCGCCGCGACGGCAGGCAACGAGGGGCCGTCGCGACACCTTGGTGCCGCGACGGCGGGCAACCAGGGGCCGTCGCGACACCTTGGTGCCGCGACGGCAGGTAACAAGGGGCCGACGCGACATCCTGGCGTCGCGACGGCAGGCAGGCAGAAAACCGCGAAGGCTGCGAATGCAGCAGGAGTACGCAACGGGAACGTAGGGAGAGGGTCCGGTGGACACGACCGGCTCTGATACCATCTTAGAAACTTAGGACACGAGCCTCTTAAACTTAGGAGGCTAGGTAGGCTAGGATACTAGAAGTGACGCCATGGAATATCGTGAGGAGAAGTTTATCTAGGGGTAGGCAAAAGTGACGAGAAAGAAGTCTTAGATTAGGAAGAGAGGGGAGTACAAGGAGGGGTTTGTATCCCCTACAGAAAGGTTCAGTAACAACCTACCAAGCCTATATTAAATTATAACTTATATAATTGTAACACAAGCGCCTTAGTAAAGATATCAGCTGTGTCAGCTGTGTCGGGCCTGGCGACGCTGCTGTAGCTCGCGCAGGAGGAAGTACCGCAGCTGGATATGCTTCGCTCTGCCCTCAAGCCGAGGCTCCTGACACATGAGGATCATGGCCCTGTTGTCAGCGTACAGGACCGGGGCAGAGCTAGGCCGCTCACCTAAGTCTGTGAGCAAGAAGGTCAGCCAGCGGAGCTCCTGTGCCGCCATGACACCAGCGTAGATCTCAGCCTCACAGCTGGACTGAGCAACAGACGACGAGCGAGTGGATCTCCAAGAGATAGCACCCGAACCAAGGCTAAAACAGTAGCCCTGAGACGACCTGAGAGTCTCAGAGTCGTCTGCCCAAGAAGCGTCTGTGTGCCCAGTGAGGACCACCGGCCTGCAGAAACCCAGTCACTAACCACTGGGTTAAAATGACTTGTTGAATAGCGGGTAAGTGCGCCCATAACCCCCCAGGCTCTGCACCTGTGGCCCTTCTCCGAGGATCTTTTTAAGGGTAACCCAGCGGGTCACTCGACACCCCCCCTCGCTGGGATAGGTGGAAGACACGAGCACCTCTGCAGCGCTGGCACTGGGACTAGAACCCAAGACCTTTGGCTCTGATGTACCATGTTTAAGAAAGAACGAATGAATTGACTAGGAAGAGAACACAGAACAAATACCAGTTGGTTGTACTCACTAGAAGCACACACCTAGTCTACCCTATAACTTCTACATAGATAATATGTATAAGTTGACACGTATGTCCGGAGGGGTGCCATATTGGATGTGCCAACGATACGCACCCCCCAATTTTCCAGATTCTAAGAGCGTGTTCCTACCAGCCTCTTCCCTAGCAACCTCTTCCCAGACCCGCGTCCTACTGTGTCGCAAATTTTGACGCGAAATGTTTCAGTGCGATTTTGCGAAGTGCGAAGTGAGAATCGCCTACCTGAGATTCAGGGGGGCGTGTTTTAAAACCTCTTTTCAGACAAGCAGATTTTCAGACAAGCACGAATCTGCACAGTAAAATTTCTACGCCAGCTGGTTTTATGTGGTTGAGAGCGGTGGAACGCAGATATGAAACGGGAGTATTCCGAAAAGTGATCCTGAAAACACGCTCTCAAGGTCGCGCGTGAGTCTGGGAAGAGGCTCGTAGGAACACGCTCTAATCCTTATACGCACCCCCCTTTCCCCACCTATGGGAAGCTCTCGCTGACTAGGTTGATTGTACATTCCGCGTCAATTCTACGTGACGAATCACTTCATCACACAAAATCGACCCCAGACCTTCCGATTCATCGAAGGTGTGGTCAGCAAAGCTCTGCTGCCGTGTCAGACGAGAGAACGGTGTTAGAATGCTAGAATAACTAGAATGGGAGAGTACAAGGGAATATGGGCTCATGTTGTGTCAAACTTATCTTAGTATGTTACTGTAGACTATACAGGTTTGTGCCTTAGAGGGTACAACTCCCTAGCTTATATATTACCTTGTACCCTCCTATTCTATTCATTATTCAGTCTTGAGATGGTATCAGCAGTAAGTAGGTCCTGCTGCCCGCTTACGCTTCCGCTCTAGGTCCTAGCCGCACATTCCCCCTAGTCGCGCCGTTCCTAGCTAGCCGAGTGCCCGTTCCCCCCGGCCCCTAGCGCCCGTTCCTGCCGGCCTCCTCGCGCCCGTCCTCGCCGGCCCTCGCGCCCGTTCAGTCGGCACCTAGCGCCCGTTCCTAGCCGGCCCGCGCGTCCGTCCTTGCCGGCCCCTAGCGCCCGTTCCTAGCCAGCCCGAGCGCCCGTCCCAGCCGGCCCCTAGCGCCCCTTCTAGCCGGCCCCTCGCCCCCTAGCGCCCGTTCCAGCCGGCCCTCGCGCCCGTTTCCGCCAGCCCCCCAGCGCCCGTCCTAGCCGGCCCCTCACCCCCTAGCACCCGTTCCAGCCGGCCCCTGCGCCCACTCTAGCCGGCCCCTAGTGCCCGCTCCTCGCTGGACCCGTGCGTCTGTTCCAGCTGGCCCCAGCGCGCCCGTTCCTAGCCGCCCTAGCGCCCGTTCCTCGCTGGCCTCCGCGCCCTTTCCTCGCCGGCCTTCGCGCCCGCCCTAGTCGGCTCCGCGCCCGTTCTTAGCTGGCCCCTCGACCCGTTCCTCGCTGGCCCCCGTGCCCGTTCCTTGCCGGCCCTCGCGCCCGTTCCTGATCGGCCCTGTGCCCGCTCCTCGTCGTCCCCGCGCCCGTACCTCGTCAGCCGGCCCGCCGCCGGCCTCCAGCACCGCATCTTAGAAACTAGGACACTAGCTTAGTTAGGAAGCTAGGATGCAAGGAAAGGACGCCATAGAATGGTGGGAGGAAAGTAGATCTAGGAACGTGAGGAGAAAAGTCGAGAAAGAAAAGGTATCGATTAGGAAGAGAGAGGAGTACGAGGGGATTGTACCCTCTACAGAAAGGTTCAGTAACAACTATCAAGCCTATCAATTATATATAACTCATATAATCTTGACACCGCACTGCACCACACATCATCGCACTGCACCGTACTGCACCGCTCAGCACCGCTCTGCCCCGCACAGCACTGCTTCGAACCGCACTGCATAGCAGTGCACCGCTGCTGCATCACTCCTAATGGCGGACTCCATGCTCCGCTTCGACGCAGAGGGTCAGCCGCTCGAGTTTGACACGTGGCTGGTCGACCTCCGTCGTCATCTCACTGGTCATCGGCAGGACGGCCACTCCCTGGCGGTCCACCTTGATGGTACGCTCCCCTGCCCTGACCCCCCTGCTCCCCTGCCCGCTGACCCCTCGTCCGCTGACAGTGAGTCCGCCGCAGCTGCTGCCCTTGCTCGCTCAGTCTGGCTGTCACGTGACGCTGTCGCGCAGCTTGCGATCAGTCATGCCCTCCCCCTGTCTGAGCGCCC